AAATTAAGTTTTTGAAGTAATTATGCTTAGCTTCAAATTGCTTTTTACGTGAAAAAAATTTTAAATATCAATATCTTCCTCTTTTATTATTTTTTTTATTATTTATTTCCAATTATTAAAGATGTACGGTTCGATTATAAATATTGTGTTAATTAAAACAAATTTATACCGCCGGAAAATTTATAACACCGTTTTAACACCGAAAAAAATATTTACACCGCAAACGGTGTTACATCGGTGTTATTATAACACCGATTTCGGTGTTAAATTTAACACCGGTAATTTTAACACCGGACTTACACCGGTTTTTTTTTTTACAGTGCATGCCTAAAGCGCGATCGCGCTGATGGCATAGCTCTACTAAGGGCTAAAAATCAAGTTTCCTTTCTCTTCAAGAGAAATTGTATTTTTAATCCATAATCCTCGTACAAATGTTTAAAAAAATACACAGGTGTCAAGAAGAACGATTGTTGAACTAATTAAAAAAAAATTAATTCGTAAATTAATTATCAATTTTAGTGAAAAAACCCCGTTTTTTCCAACTTATAGTGGAAATAATTGTCAAAATATGGTGGTGTGGCCAAGATAACTAAAAATTTATACAATTTTCAGGACTCATTTTTTTTCAGCCCTGTCATTAAACTTTAATGAAGAACCTTATTCAATATCAAAGCTTGATAATGCTTCGTTTATTTGTAATTAAAACATTTTGATTGGCATTCACACCGAATTTTCCCATTTTGGTCGGCCATGTGTTTATTTTTTTAGTAAACAGAGTTTTCACAGTGACTCTGCGACTGAGACAACGTATGTATGAGTATCGACTTGTAAGTAGTTGATACTATGGAACACGGGAGGGCTTTTTATTCGCATCGTAAATAATCACTGTACGCGGAAAATTAAAAATAAATAAACAAATATTAATTAATTTTTTTTAAATAACAGACGTATGACATGAGCGCTTAAGGCATGCACATTTGATTTTACCTAACTTTTTATTGATTATGAAGTATTTAATTTCATGAAAATTGATCTTGAACAACAATAGCAGTTTCACGTGCGGAGTTGAATTTAATTGGATCTTTCTGGTACAAATCCATTAAATTTCTAGCAGTAGTTGCACTCAGAGCTTGTGAAGCAGAACTGACCTTCATTTTGTCTTTAGACGTTGGAAATACATGCTTCTCGGTAATTTTTATGTCGTTGACGCCATACGACTTGCCTAAGCCAAGTACATATATAATTAAATCCTTCCACTCAGCTCGATGATTATTCCAAAGAAGAGAGTTGCCCGGATAGTTCCATTTTTTAATTTCAATATTTTTTGATGAGTTTACTCGCCACCATTTTTCCCAGTTTCCCATGAAACAATTTCTTATTGTTTTCACGAGGTGAGCAGTATCAGCGAAAATAAAAATTTTTCTATCGATCCCGGGAACTTTAAAGAAAACACCTTCCTCTCCCCCTTCAGACTCACGTTTTAACATATTCAAAGCAGCTCTGTTAGTGGAACCTTGATCAGAAACGAAACCAACGACCGTAGCTTAATTACTACTTAATATTAATCAAAATTGTAAATTAAATTAATGAAATTTTCCTTGAAAATTAATTTATAAATAAAAAAATGACTCACTTGCTTGTATCAGAAATCGGAAATGCAAAAAAAGAACAATCTGATGAGCCCTGTTGGTGATCACAGAACGGGGCCGTGCACTTTTCTTTGTTGACCATTTTTCACGAATTTTTAATTCTTATCTGATAGAAACAAAAGAATGACAAAAGATATTCATTCAGTTTGAGTATCAACAAACAATTTATAACCTCAACTTCACTAATGTCAACGTTCTGTGAATCTAACACGTGACAATATGAAAATAAATAATGGCGGGAAGCTAGGCGGGCGATTGCGTTTCATTATAGAAGTTATAGAGGGTGTTCAGATCGTCAATGATACCAACAATACGGTTATCAATTATTTTCAGTACGGTAGCACTGCAAAACCTCAAACCAAATTGCCCATCTGAGTGGGGTGGGACTCCGCTGATACATATGTTCCAACTGAGGCATTCACAGGGCTTAATTGAGACACTCGCCAAAAGAAACGATACGTTTACAATGAGACCGAGTACGCTTACCCCCACTCGCCTAACGGCTCGTGGGGGTAATCTGCGTACTCGGCCCCATTGTAAACGCGCCGTTCCTTAGATTCGTGTCTCAATTTTTAAGTCCTGGGAATGCCTCACTTCGCACATATGTATCGAAAATATCTATTTTCATCAAAGAAAAAATTTTCATCACATTTCTGACTATGCAGAGGCTATTATTATAGGCCTGATTAGACATGGACAGGCCTGATCAGACATGAGTGTATTTAATGCTTCAGAGATTAAAGACATGAACAGGCCTGGTCAGACCTGAGGTATTTGACGCTTCAGGCATCAACAGGCATGGGCAGGCATGGACAGGTCTGATCAGACCTGGTCAGGCTTGAGCGAATTTAATACTTCAGACATGAACAGGTCTGATCAGATATGGCCTGCTCAGGCCTGAGCGTATTTAACACTTCAGACATGAACAGGCATGGACAGGTCTGATCAGGCATGGACAGGCCTAGTCAGGCCTGAGCGTATTTAACACTTCAGACATGAACAGGCATGAACAGGTCTGATCAGGCATGGACAGGCCTGCTCAGACCTGAGCGTATTTAACACTTCAGGCATGAACAGGCATGGACAGGTCTGGTCAGGCCTGAGCATATTTAGCACTTCAGACATGAACAGACCTGATCAGGCATGATCATGTCTAATTTCAGGCCTGGTCATACATGAACAGGCCTGATCAGGTCTAATTTCAGTCCTGATCATACATGAACAGGCATGGTCAGGTCTGATCATTTTTTCCCGGCGGGTTACTATTAAATAATTTATTAAGAATGATAATCCTCATATCACATTCTATAACTGATCTAAATAATGATTAAAATATTAATTAGTATATATTTCTTAAAATCGAAATAATTGATGAAATATTTATAAGCATTGTTTACATTTCGTGAATTCTTAACCTATCTTTTTTTTCTAATCTTCATAAAAGCACGTGGACGAGGAAAGCAATCGTGTAGTTTCTATAATAAATTTTATTTTAATAAAGTATTAAAATTTTCTATGAAATTATTTTCTTTCTATTTTAATAGTAGTTCTGATTAGTCATAGAAGTAGAATTGATGAGTTTAAAAAAAAATAAACATACAATGCGTTGTACAACTCCAAGAAGTTGTACAGTTATTTTTGATCGAAAATCTGGGGTTCGTCCACGGCAGGACTCCAATGCACTCCTGGCGCTCCAAACATGTACCCTTGATGACGGATCAGACGGTCTTGAAGCGTTTCCAAATCTCCTTTTGAGGATAATCCTAAGCTCCTAAGGAAAAGCCTCAACTGACAATGGCGATTCAAAGCCAGTCATTAACCAAGATGGGTCCATCGCTGGCGAAGTACTTTGTACTGGGTCAGTCTTTACCAATTTTCGATCGGTTTGGGGACTTGAATTACTCGATTCACCTGAATGTGAAACCCTGTTACCGCAAATCGAAGCTTGACTGCCGTTCCAACCTTCCAACTCACCAATTTTACGAAACCTGGCTAACATTGATTTTATATTGCCTTTATTTGCAATTAAAACCAACCAGGGGACCACTTAATTCCAAAACGAAATTAAATATAAACTCAAAGTAGTCAAACGGCGACAAATAACAAAAGAAATTTCCACAATTTCTTGTCAGCCGATGACAAATGCTAACACAGCAAAGAAACGATTTGTAAACAAACAAATAATAATGATAATGATTAAATAATTCAAATCGTAGTATTACTGAACTCACTTATTACCTAAAGTGTTTACCACGTATTCGAAAAATAGTATAAATTAAATCTCGGTGACGATTTTTAAAAAAGAAATTTAATCCGAAACAAAATAATTATTTCAATGACAATTTATTAATCGAAAGGTATTTTTGGATTAAATATATGAAGATTATTTCCAGTGACGACGATAATAATAATAATCCGCTGGGACTGCGATGCGAACGGTAGAATGGCAACTACCGGAGAACGACAAGCCAGTCAGTCCCGCGTGACGTCATCGACCAAACTTTACGTCGACGAGCAGGCAATGCTTGCTGGAACCTTCAAGTCGAAATATCAATTGCTGGTACTCGATACAATTAAATAATTCTATTCGGCAACTTAGAATTTTATTTAACGATTACGCGATAATAATTTTAATTTCGCGACTCTAGTTGACTTAAATAATTAAACCAATAATGGGTTTCCTCGGCGGTGATAATCACAACTCTACCAAAGCCGAGATCAAATAAAAATTTTAAATTTAAAATATTAAATTTTATTCTAAATAAAATAATACTAGTAACGCTCAAATTTAAACGAAGAGTGCGAAAGAGAATCACCGATAACTCGATGCAGTGACAAGTAAGCCGGATGATGTCACTGCTTCGGAATTTCCTTCGCTGGCCGAACGCTCGACGCTCTCTTTCTTTCTTTTTCTAACTCAACTTCCTTTTCCTAATAATTATCTAATCCCTGTCTCCACAATACGCTGCAGATGGATCAATCAATTAACTCTCTAACGCCCTGGCCCGACGTTGGGCGCCATACCCCATACGAAGTTTGAAAACCGGCCCTTGGATGGCCCATCGCCGGGCGAAGGATGACAATTAACGGCCGGACATTGGCGTCTTTTAATGGCCCATCGTCGGCTGACTATACAAATGATAACCCCGGCCCATTAATGGTAGTTGATCATCGGCCGATTAATGGCCCCAGCAATGGGCCATGAACTATTTAAATTATCGGCCCATTAATAATTTTTAATTATCGGCCGATTATCCCAACAAATATTGGCCCGTTAACGGCAAATGAACAGAAAATCATAAAAAAAATAATAATAATATTATTATGATTTTTTTTTTAAATATTTTTATATTATTATTGTTTTTATTTTAGAATATTTTTATATTATTATTGTTTTCATTTTAGAATATTTTTATATTATTATTATTATATTTATTTATAAACTGCATTAATAATAACTTTTTGCGGAATAATTTAATTACTTAATTAGAATAGTTGTTTGATAACTGCATAAAAATTTAACTGCCTGTTTTTACTCAAATTTTTATTATTCTAGATAATTCTTATCAAAATGAAACATTATGAACAACGACTTTATTTGCAAAAATTTAAAATAACTTAAGTTTTTTTTTAAGTTTTAAATTTAAAAAATCAAAAATATAAAAATAAAAAAAAAATTTATGCCGAGAGAGATCTTTCTTTTCGCCCATGCTCTCGGTCATTACAACCAGACAGCCATTTGCCAACTTTTCCGGCAAAATTTTTGCATTCCTCAGAATCACCAAATTTTTTGGTAACTACATCTGTGATAAAAAAAAAAATTATAAATTTAATTCTACATACTTAACACTTTTAACACTTTTGATAAACATTGATTATTTTTACAATATCTCTCATGCATTTATAAGTTTCCGTACTACTGAAGTTGAGTTTTCCAACTCCTTTTATTATTTTTCCTGTCCCTGAGTAGTGTGATTCAACACTTTTAGTCAATAAAGCAGATGCAATTTTACATATACATCCTTTAGAAGTAGTCTGCCCATAAATTAAAACACGAAGAAGTACCATCTGAAAAAAAATACATATGAATTTGTGTGAAATCAATAAATTATAAATCATTATTGAATAAAATGTAAATTTTACCAATGCTTCTTTTTTTGATTTTGAGCTTTTTACGTCGTCATCAAATTCCTTAAAATCTGCTAAATCTGCAAAGGGTAATTTGACATCTAATTTTGTTTTAGCATCAGATAGGCTAAGCCGAGGAGTTCCAGATAGATTATTAGCCAACAACGTATTTTTCAATTCATCGAAGTTTTTTTTCAAATCATACTGTAAGCTCTTTTTTTCACTGGACAGATTGCGTTTAACTGAATTATCTAAATCAAGTAGCTTTTTGTCCAAATAGACCTTCAAAGATTCTAGAAAAATAAAAGTATTTTTAAAATATATAAATTTTTTTAAAGTATCGAGAAACTTGATCGCCAATATAATTTTGATTAAAATTCAATCTTACGAAAGTCCAACACTTCATCACTTTCATCAATTGGCCCCAATGTATTATTCTGTGATTCATCTGTAAAATAAATTTATCAAGTTTTTAAATTTAAAATATCTAATTCGTTTAATTAATTTTATATAATTATTATTAGTAGACTTTTAAAAATATCCCAATCAGTAATTTAATACCTTTAGGATCAGAAAATTTTCAATATTCAAATAAATTTTCCAGCTAGTCAAATTAAATTAAATTTATAATTTAAATAATTTTAATTAAAAATACAATTTTTTAAATAATGAACAAAATTAATCATATTTGAATTAATTTTTTTTATCCAATAATTTAGTTATATTTATTTTTTTTATGAAAGAAATCAGAGTTCGTTTTTTTCTAAATACAAAAAATACCATACCATTATTTAGTTTCTTCTTAAGTGAACATTTTTCTTTACGAGAAATAGAAATTTGATTCGTATTTTTTTGCATAGGTAATATACTATCTAAATCTTTCGCAACTTCAACGTTACTTAGTATTTTTGGCTTCACTCTGCTGGTGTCCTTATTACTTTCGTCGTCCGTACTCTTCACGTCCAAAGTAGTAAACGCTCGATTTAATCGTCTTTGTCCTTGTTTATAACTATCTATTTCAACATAGATTAAGAGTCTCATAATATTCTTATTATAGTTAATATTGAATAAAAGTTTCTGATAAATAATAAAAAAAAAAAAAAATGTTTACCTGCGTAAGTCAGAATTTTGATGGTGTATGTTGACCAATTTTTTTTTTTTGTAGAGTAGATGGCGGATATTGACAAAAAAATCCATCACTTTTTTCTGTGATCCACTTACTAGGTATCAGATCAATGTCTTTCTTACCATTTGGATCACTAGCTGCAAACTCAACTACTGCATACATATTTTTTTCACTAACGTTCGTCACCTATAAGTAAATATATTAAATCAAATCGTTATTATTATTATTCAAATCACAGTAACCTTACCAATTATAAGTATTGCTTATTTATCAAATCAATCACTATTTAAGATAAGAAATTAGCAAATATCCAACAATTTAATACTTTTTTTTTCATTAATTAAATAATAGCTAGCACAATTAATTTTTTTTTAGTTGCACTTATAATTTAAAAAATTTATTAAATATGAAGTTTTTTAAAATGAAAAAAAAAATTTTGAAAATCTTTAGATGTCGGTTAACCTAATTTTTATTTATTTAAATTAGATAAATCGACAGAAAATGAATTAGACGATAAATAATATGTAAAAACTCTCAAAAAATTAATTAATAATTAATTTATTTAATTAATTATGCACTCACTTCATAAATTTTAGGTTAGAAAGTCGGCAAACCAGAAGCAATACACGACACAACAGAACTGAGGCAAGACACTGGACACACACATTTGTGACACTTGGCGCTGCGTAACTCTTTTGTTTGTCACGAGCCGACTTTTCTTCAATTCTTGGAAATGAAAAAAAAAGTGTGTGTGTACTTATATACACGCGTTAGAAGTTATACATCTTTGGCGTAACAAGATAAAAATCTTTTTAAAAATTTTATCTTTCGCCTTATTCTGCGTTTGTAGAAAAAACGACACTATAACAATAGAAAAAAGGTATTTGAAACGGAATGTTTTCCTTCTCTTGGTCGCCCCTTTTCTCTTAAGGGCGCCACTGGATTTTTGTCCTCAGTATCCAGAACTGGACCAGAACATGGAGTGCTAGGTCAGGGTCGTGAGAGATTAGTTGAAAGGAACTAAGATCAAAACACAGAATTTCGTTTAACAAAAATTATTTATTTATCCAATCCCTCTTATAATTGTGATATGGCCAGTATAACAATATATAAAGCTTCATGGATACCAATGCTCATTCACACTCACACTCATACAGTATATTTCTCGCTGTCCAGCTAGACCCTCACGTGGCTGTAGTACCCGATGCCTACTGGACTCTCACGATACTCTATCTACTTCACGTCGTCCCCTGGACCTCTAACGCTACTCTAACTTAGTTCGCGCGGTCTCACGGACTCTCACGCCACTGAGCTGGACCTCTGACGTGACTACACACGTTGTCCACACAGCGCACGCTGTCCCCCAAACTTCACGCTACTCTGAGAGAACTACCCAAGGCTGGATAGTCTCTTTACGCTCACACAAACACACTCAATGCCAATTCCTCAATAACAATAATAATAAGAGCGCTCGAATTACCAAATAAAACAATTTCCATAATATTATTTACCTAATTAACAATTCCTTAATAAATAATTATCATTTCTTCTAAATACTACTTTACGGCCGTGTTCTTAATATTACGACACTAAATATTTAAAACAAGAGGTCTTAGTATCTTGAATTAATCCTAATTGTTATGTCCGAGAAATTAATAAATAGATTTTAATCTTCATTTAGTAAAACTAAGTAAATCTGATAATTGAGCAAACTTAAATATTGTCTAAATTATTTTTTATTTAATCCAAATTATTTTATTTAATTCCGAGCTATTTTATTTAATCCATTAACCAGCAGTAAATTTTAATAAATTTATTTTCCAACGCAAAAGTAAAATTTAGACAAGAGATTATTCTATTGTATTTTATTATGTGTTTCTTAAAACTTAATATTTTATTTTACCACCAGGCAGCGCCACTTTATTTTTAAAAAAGTAGGGGGTACCCTCCTAGAATGGCCTTAATATTGAACTTAATTTAATAATTACAATGACTAGCGATTGTGACCGAACGCGAAATGGCGGTGACCTTCAGCCGACGTGTTGCCTGGCTGACGCCGCCGACCCGAGAAATAAAATCAGACCTGATAATTGTACCTGGAGTTTTACGCTTTATTAATTCCCTACTCGTGTACTCCCTCGACGAGCTACAACTCCTTTTTCCAGGCTGGTGTAAGTTTTTCCTTGGAATAAATCCTCGGCAATTATCTCCTCGGGTTACTGCTTGGCAGCGAAAATCCGGTCACCGTCACTCGTGCTCTGGATATTTCTCTTGAACCTGTAACCGCAAATCGGCATTAGAATATTTTACAAATTAAAATTAATTTACGCAAGCTGACAGGCGGCCTAGCAAGCAATAAATCAATTAATTTTTCATCGCTTCGTTCCACTTTAAGGTGAGCGAAATAAAATAATTACCTGTGTTCAGTTCTTACTAAAGTTGCGATGCGTTCAACGAGATTCCTCGGTCACAATGAGTCTTCTCGGTCTTGTCGTTGTATTTCTTTCTTCACCCTGCCTTCCCCACTCTCTCTCTCTAGGCGCCAGCGCTTCCCCCTCGGGGACTTACTCACTAACTTACAGCTAGAGGCGCGAGTACTTAAGAACACAGCGCTCTGGGGAATCAGTCGATAACTAACTCACGGATCGGGAACCTTCTCTGGGTAAAGAAGGCCCCGTGTACTCCGTTACATATTTAATACATTAAAAGTTTTCTTATAATGCATTATTTAGTTAAATAAAGTTTATATTTAATATTTAATAAAAAATTTCACAAAAAATTATTTCTACATAATTAAATAAATAAATATTGTGAATACAGTTGTAAGTTCTCTCGCAAACATACGTAGATGCCCTTACTGTTACTTTGTTGGTACCTTTTTTTGAAAAACTAAAATGTTGACTATAGCTAACTTCATCATGTCGGTTTTTCGTGACGGTGTGCGCGCGCATCGTAAAAATTTACCCTCATCATTTTTGCCTAACGCGCCAAAAGAAGTATAACTTCAAAAAACATTCTTCGAAGTTTATGAATACTAATAATTTTTTTAGGGAATTGTAGTATTATTTTATAATAGTCATTTATGCTTAAATTAATTAACCTCCGATAAAATTAATTTAATTAATCAAATAAATCAAATTAATTAATGATGTTATGCAAAATGAATTTGTATCATTTTCTACGACACCATTGTCTTTATCACACTCACTAATTTTATCACTATTTAAACTAATATCTTTAATAGGACTAGAGCGCTCTCATAAATATTATAGTTGATTTGAGAGCTCATACTAGAGTCACCGGTGTCGTTCTAATCACAAATCACATTTTCCTTTTCTACAATTGCACTATGAATGTTTTGATTTTGTTATTGGTAATCGTTTTTTTTAATGATTTTAGTACTCTATATTTTTTAACTAGTTGATATGCGCTTGACAAAGAGATAGAATTTAAATTAAATACTATATTTAATTAAAATTTAAAGTAATATTGCCTGAAACCCTCAATAAGAAAAGTTAGAAAATGAGTGAAAAACAGCTGATTTAAAATATACTGCGCTTGCGCAACCAATTATGGATTGTAGTATCGGCTGGAGTACAGCCGTTGATCACCCGTCAATCAGTCCAAAGAAATGCTTTCTGCATTAAATATTTGTAGTGACAATTAAAGACTTGAAAGAATATAATGAAAAAAATATTTAATGCAGATGTTATGTAACCACCAATTTTATATCAGAAGACCGCGTTAAAAACTTTAATTACAATTTTTTTAAAAACATTTAATAATTAGTTGTTCATACGGAAATTAACTGAATTAATATTAGTAAATTTTTTTTTACATTCGAATAATACAAAATAATAGTTTAAAAAAATATAAGCAAAAAAAATTTTTTTTCTAAAAAAATATTTTATTGATTATAAACGCCAGTAATCAACCATGATTGGGCCATTACTAATAGCCAATAGAGAAGCTCTTCTTTGGTTATGTACAATTGAATTTACATTTACTGTTATAATTTTAAGGTTTTTTACATTTATTGAGTTACCTGGAGTTGTACTATCCATGGTTGTTACTATTGATATTATGTTGGAACATTTCAAACATTTGTAGGATTTTCTCAGAATTTTGTCTGGCAATATTGGCTATACTTACTATTTGTTGTTGCATAGCTCCTAATACTGTCATAAATTCCGGATTACTCGATGTTGGTTGACGATTTTTGAATGTATCAGCATAAGTTCTGTCTGACCTTACTGTGGGATATTCCCTGACCCGTATTGCAGCTGGATCTTCGTTTATGACTTCATTGTTGTCTCTGTTATCTTTTTTTCCTGCTTGAGAGTTTTTATTTTTGAACTCTTTGTATTTTGGGCATCCTTTATAATTTGCCGGATGACCATATTTTTGACACAATGTACAAAAAAGTTTCGACCTATCGTCGTCAATTTTTTCTAATAGGCAGTTATTTGGGCCATGTGTTTTGTCGCATTTTACACATCGGTATGCCATAGAGCAATTTGCCGCTGTGTGATTAAGCCTTTGACAATTTATACATTGTGTTATTTCTGACCTTCGCATGCAGGTAATCCCATGTAATTTTATGATGGTCTAGATGTTTTACTGCATACACTCCAGTTTTATTGCTGTCTGCACTGAGTTGGACTATGTATATTGGGAGAATCCACCCTTTTAACTTTGATTTTGATGTTTCGAATCTGCTTACGTTAATGAAATTCACGTTTGGAAGTTCTTGTTGTTTTAATAAAT